AACCTCACTAGCTGCGTCATTGCCCCAAGCGCAAAGATGCAAATTTCAGCAGCTTAGCTCTTTGTTTATGTGAAACGCAAACACTCCTCTTTGTTGACTTGGTGATGTGGGATCCGGACCAGCGTCATCCCTTTCGTTTTGCTTACCTGTTACCCCGCAACTAGTAAATTAACTTTGCTTAGATTTTGATGTAGTGAATCTGTTATAAAGCGCAAGGTAGAGCTCAATAACATTCACTGTATCCAAAAATGAAAGACATTTTGCTCTCTGCTAACATGTCATTCCTTCCTTTTGCATAGTAACTGCCAGCCCTTGCTTTTCAGTTGATTTTTTAGATCATATTGGCCAGTAACCATGAGTTCAAACAGGTCATTGACGAGGCTATTCCATTTGGTTTCAGATGGAAAAATTCACTCTAATAGCTGTTTGGTTGCAGAGAAAAAAAAAACGAAGATAACATTTAGGCTCTTTTGTCTAATGCTTTTAAATTATCTTGAAACATGCTACAAAAGTTGCAGGAACGCCTGGGAAGAAGAACTAATAAAGGTTTTTAAGATTGTATGGAAGATCATCAAAGAGAATGCTAAAGAATCAAATCTACTAATGCTTTAGATGCTTGATGTTTGACCAAATCTATCAATTATTCATACAAAAATATAATAACTTATCTGTCTGCATAGCATAAGTTTCCAATCTCAATAATTTCAATTTTAATGCATTCTAATCTACAGGGATTGAAATATATTAATAAACAAATACTATTGCACCTAACTCATTGAAAAGGAGACTAAAAATTAAACTGACAATGCAGCAATGGCCAAAGAACCATCAGTATGCAGCAAATCCCTGTATCTAAGCCATAAACTAAATCTTCATCTTTGTCTAGAACATAAAAGAAGCAAAATCTTGTTTCTGCTTGTGATTGGAAGTTTGGAATCATGGCCAGCAAGCTTTTCCAGCACCCACTTCCCACTTCCCAAGCAATTCCTTCAATACCTATAATCAGAAAAATCATAACAGTTCAGAAATTAGCCCCAGCAATGCAGTCAACAACCAAAAGCAATAGATTTTTTGGGCCTCCATCTGGTTTAAAGCACATTCTCAAAGATACCACCAAAGTTGCTAAAGATAGCTATAGCTTAGTTCATGATGGCATGGAGCTAGAAGAAAAAGAGAAGGAACCATCAAAGAACAGGACACCTGACCTGATCAAAACAGACTTTTACCAGGCTTTCCAAGGTAAAACCTTGGAAATTTCAGCCACATATTCATTCCATCTCTAGCTTTGATGACATGTAGAGTTTGAAATGACTATTGACATGTGTGGCACTTGTATGTATTTCTAGGAATCAATAGAGGGATTTTCGGAGTGCAGTCTGCGAGAAAATCTGAGATTGAAGGGCTGGTGGAGTTGCTTGAGACCCAGAATCCGACGCCTGACCCTGTATTACACCAAGAGAAGGTACATTCAATGCAATTCCTTTCTCCTCTCATCAGTTGTAAAGCCTGTACTGTACAAACGTACAATGGATGAGTGTCATATCTAATTAATCGAGATTATACATACATACACACATATATGTGTGTGTATGTATGTATGCTTTCCAACTTGAAAACAAGGTAGTGCTAATTATAGGAAATTATGGTCCTTAATAGAAATGATCGTGCTAAAGCTATCACCTAATATTTTCAGTTGCCACATGTATGATGAGGGTTTTGGCAAAGTTTACTCCTCAATATCGAATGAAATAAGATGTCTGTTCTCGCAATAAGAGTTCAAAATGTTCAATGACAGCTTTATTTTTATAATTGCAAGGTTGGACGATGCTGGAAACTTGTTTACAGTACAATAACAATTTTGGGAGCCAAGAGGACAAAACTTGGATTGAGACATTTCCTCACCTTGGGGGATATCTATCAGACCATTGATGTTGCTAAGGTGTAGGGTCAATTCTCACCAAATTATATGTGCATTTAAAAAGCAAAACGTGAAAAATTCATTTTGTATATGTTCCCTACTCGTAACTCTTCTCTAGACAATCTGAACTGTTGCAGTGTCTCAGTGACCCTTTTTTTATTTTTTCTCATGCATCAAATTCTGACAAATTTGATTAGCTTCCTTTATCTCTTCAATGAAGTTAGCAGCTCACACACTGTTAATGTAACCTTTCAAAAACTATTTTATGTTAGTATTTCGTTTCCTGATGCTAACCCTAAGCATTTGCTGATGAAAATAAATGGAGGCCAAAGCGGTTAATGTGATCGAGTTCAACATTCCAGGTTTGAATTTGTTAAATGGACGGCTTACAATAGAGGCCACTTTCAAGATAGCATCTATAACAGTTAGCAAAACCACTCTGTTTTCCCTTCTTTTTTAATTTTTCCTACCTATCAGATTTCTTTCCGAGTTGGGTATTATGCGTGAAATGTCTTCATTTCTAATTGTTACAGAGAGTTGACATGTGTTATGACAAATCAACAGTTACTCCAGACCAGGTATACATGCAAATCCAACAAGTATCTGAGAGTCGTTTACTGAAGACAAAGACTTTTGCTGATACTATTCCTATATGTTGCACTCACTGAAAAAAAAAAAATAACCGGCTTTTCTTTTTGGAGGAAACAACAGATGAGGAATGTACTTCGAAAAAAGATGATCTTCTTTTCAGCATCTTCAATCCAGAAGGTTGGCTCGAGATCTCATATCCTTTTAGTCTCCCTAAAATAACATTATCACTTTTCTAAACTCAACATGACAATTGGAGTGGAGCTTTAATTCCTGATTGAATGAAATCGAATGTACCTTCTTCCTTGATTGACCATAAGATTTGTAGATGATACCATGATGATTGGAAGAGATGATAAAGGTAATACCTTCGTCTTAGAACAATCAGAGTAAAGAACACTCAAATGATCGGCATAAACCTTGCAGTGGAGCATAAGAATTGCCTTCATTTTATTTTTTGTTTGAATAACAAAACTCTCGCATATTGGATTCATGTGTGCACAACTCAAGATTACTTGATTGTAGAATAATTTTCAAAGTAATAAAATTGTTATTCATTGATGTTAGTTGTTAAAAGCTGACAAATGACAACCTAGAGCTAGAGATAGAAGGTGAAAAATCAGCAAAAAGAAGAGATCAATGAAGCGGTCAGAAAGTGTATCCAGCTTAAATCTCTCACCGATTAGGTTGTTCAAGAAAGGCAAAAAGAAGAGTTTGATTTTATATCAAGGGACATCATAAGAGAACATATCCTTTTTTATCTATAGGAAATTGAGATTTCTTATTTGCAAATTAATGAAAGTATGAAGTGTAAGCTGGCTTGCTCTTAAAATTTGAGAAGGGATTCGGATAGTGTCAGGTTCATAACTTGGGACTTGAGAGGCGTACATAGTAAGGTGTTTGGGGCGAAGCAGAATCTTACTAAACAAATGACATACTAGATTTCTATATGCCATTCTACAGGAAGCTGAAGGATTGGACTACTAGTTGCCTCCTATCTAGGATTGTGGAACTGGAGCACTTGACTAACTTGCCTTGTCTTAAAAAAATTTTCCATCTCATTTTTCTATGAGCTAGTTGATGCACAAAACAAGAAGAAAGCGATTATTCAAAGGAAGGCATGGATTTAGAGACAAACTATTTTTCTTGATCAATCTGTCAAGCTTCACCTAGTCTTCTGGCTTTAAAGCAAAAAAGTATCACTTTATCAGAAAGCGCTTCTCCTTCTAATTCGTACTTTTTCTCCTATCACCTCTTTCTGAAACATGAATCATCAACAAAAGTTATTAACTTATTAACACATACACATTTACAAGTAGCCAAGTCACAATAGTAGCAAGTCAGTGATAATGTGGCAGGGGGAATCAAGGGTTCTCTGGTAGATTAGTTCTGTGGACTGATTTTCCAAGGCTGTCAATTTTAATGTTGAACCCTGACCAGCAGATTTCCAGAACGAGAGAACTCATTTTGACCAGGGCCAGCATCAGACAGAAATAGTGCACAAACGAGAACCTTGGTTGAGTTTTGGATAGGGGCCGCGCAAACGCAGGCCCCCACGATCACAAATTACGACGTAGGCTCTCCTACTTGAGGAGACCTTACACAGGGACACCTCCCAAGTGCAATGGAGGCCACAAGCCTAGGCCATCGGCCTTAGTGATCACCCATTGACCCCGTCCAGGTAAGTAAGCTTCAATGTTGCTCCGGGCATCAACTTTATTGTGAGTGCTCATCCGTTCTCTAAGGTTTTCTCCAGATGCGGGAAGTGAGCCATTTCTTTCACCAAGATATCACTCTACCTATAACTATAAGCCTCTCTTCTCTCAAGATCTTTGAAGTGAAAAGTTTGATATTCTAGAGATTTTAACACACTTTTTTCTTTTGAAATTGAAACAAGAGAGCTAAGAACCTTCAGTAGCACCGTTTTCAGCAGCAGGCACACGGCATCCTTCAGTAATAGGCGAACGAATTGCCCGCCCGGACCCTCTGCAGATGTCACGGGTCATTACTCTCTCCCCCATAAACATGTCTATAGGGGTGTGCAGCACCACCGCTTATAAGGAGCCCAGACCTCTCGTTCCTTGCCTGATGTGGGTATTGAGGCACTTTCCTTGTGACACTCACACCCACCCGAATCGGCAAGCTTCCTCGCTGCCGTTGGCCACCCTGACTACCTCGTTGGGCCCCACCGGGCCGGGCGCTTGGCGTGAATCAGATACCACTTTGGCATGGGATCATTACTCTCTCCCCCATAAACATGGTTATAAAGGTGTGCAGCACCACCGCTTATAAGGAGCCCAAGACCTCCCGTTCCTACCTGATGTGGGATTGAGGCACTTTCCTTGTGACACAGGGCTCCATAAGGCGTGTGACTGTTGTTTCCTGTCTTCCTGCCATGTGGGACTTGCCTGGTGAGGCCCCTAAAATTTGATCTCCTAACTTCATATGAGGATTGACACAAAAGGCGGGACTTGCTTACACTACACAAATAATATGGCAAGGCAAATAGTAGCAAAATAATGGCATTGGTTAGTAAAGCAAGATAGCAGCCACTTTTTGGCATGTATAGTTGTGAACTTTCTACAAATCACCTTTGTAAAAACAAATTTTATAATGAGATGATTCTATGATGCCAATAGGATTGCCTGTTTTCAACGAAGCTGCAAATCTTAATTTGCAAATTGAGCACTAGTTCACACTACATGATATTCTCATGTTCATCTACATACTCAGTTTTCACCTTCGATTTTTCTCCGAGATTAAAAGAGTTGAAATATTTTCCTTTATTTTTGACTACATTCATTGTCTTCGTTTAATCATGAATTCTGGAGTCTACAATACTTAAAATGATGATGAAACATTGGGTAAGAACTGAAACTAGTCAAGAATTGAAGAGCCTCTACACATGTAATTGATGATGAAAGATTGGGAAAGTACTTGAGTTTTCACCTGTGGTTACTTTTTCTCCGGTACATTCATTACCGACCGTGAATTACACTCCATAAATTATTAAAATGATGTCAACCATGAATTACACTCCATAAATAGCTTCTGATGATGAAATTTGCGAATATCAGCTGTGCTAAACCCCAACTCGTGTTGTAAGTGTTACTCTCAGGAGCTCCCATACTCCGTTCTCAATCGCTCTAGAAATTTTTCCTTTTAGCAATTAGGTAGGGGCCGCGCGAACGCAGGCCCCCTCTGCCACAAATTATGACGTAGGCTCTCCCACTTGGGGAGACCTTAGACAGATGCACCTCCTAAGTGCAATGGAGGCCATCTACCTAGGCCATGAGCCTTCCTGATTGCCCATTGACCCCGTCCAGGTAAGTATGTTGCTCAGGTCGTCCATGCTTATTTTTTATTACCCCTGGTCACATCTCCTCTTTAGTGTTTCCACGGTGTGGGACTCAAGTTGTGGTGTAAAGTCAGTCAACTTGTCAAATATGGCAATCAGGAAAATCTGAAATGAATCGTTGAGACTCTCACCTCTCGAGTAAGCTCATGCCTTATACTATTTGGTGATATGGGAAAGATTGGATTCAGAAAGAAGGATTCACTTCAACAGTTGGTCCACTCCTCTAGCACTCTGTTTGGTATTGAAATTCCAGGCACAAGTCTGCTTCTTGTCCTTGTGACTTGAGAAGCAAGCACCAAGAGGTTCTAAGATTTTGCCTCCGAATTAAACGATTTAAATTTAATCATCAGTCCTTCCACCAAACCAAATCATAAACATGAAGCAAGTGAAGAAACATATCCATTTTGCTATCGTTCTGGCTGCAGAGACACGACTTTGACAAACCCTTACCCAAGTGTTTTCGCCTAAGGTTCCACCTTACCACTCACTTTGCCATTGATATCGACATATAATTGCAAGCAAAATGTGTTGAGCAACTTAAATAAGATATTATATGTCTTTGCTGTGATAGAAAATGCAAGAAGCAAAGAGTATACCTCCAAGACAAGCGGAATCCCAGTGCGAAACCAGCGGTATGCACTTTTCATTATTGACCCTTTTAGAGAATTTGCCTGACTGAGAAACAAAAGCATTTTCTGCATCTTGTATAACTGACTTTACGTTCGCATGTGTGCACAAGTTTCCTTGGCTCAAAGTAGAATTCAGGCAACAAAACCATCTCATTCCCATTTCTCTACCCCTCTTCCTCAGAAAAATATTTAAAATCAACCCGGCAATTATGCAAAAATTAGTGCTTGCGACGGTCACAAATTGGATTCAACCAACTTCAAACAGTCAATAGAAAGGAAAACGCTGCACACCAGATATCGGTTTCAAAGACAACTTGATAAAAGCAAACACATTCCTGAATGGCCTGTGTAAAGTGTCTCTTTTGGCTATCAACTGTAGTCGATGAAATGTCAAGAGAAAGTGGAATGCCCTGTTTGAAACATCAGACATGTAGTTCACTTTCATCATAAATAGTTTTATTTTGATAAACGAAAAATATGATTACATAAAACCCACTATCCAAGACCACATTGATCTTATGGCTGCACAGCAATTGAGAAACATTTACACAATATATAAAATACATGGCTTGCAGTGAAAGAATAAATTTTTCTCTTCATCTTCTGATGTCTGCATGCAGATATACATATCCAGTCTATTAACACACGCACTTACAGCAATTGTGCATGTTTATAATATACTGCAATTGGAGGAGACGAATTAGGCAGTTGGAACTTCTTAGAAGGCAATCCATTTGGCAATGATTAGACAATTAAAAAAATAATTCAAAGATAAATAGATTGCATACACTGGCAGTACACAAAAAGAGGCTTTCCACACAAATCATGAACCATAACATATTCTTTTAGCATCGCAACTGCATCGATTTGTCTCCTTTTGACATCTTCAAGGCTAGAAGCACTGTTGATTTACAGCCTCTTTGAAAGATTATCTCCAGTAGTCTTGGCTTGAGGTAGTATACTAAATGAAAAACAACTTTGTCGACAGAATTTAGAAGCATAGTTGATTTACAACCTCTTAGAAAGATCATCTCGAATAGGTTTGGCTTGAGGTAGTATACCAAATAAAAAACAACATCGTTGGCAGAAGTTTTGTTATCATCCACATTTTGTTTAACAAAAAAAATTGCTCTCCAAAAGAATAAAAGTGTTAAGAGAACAACCAAACGGAGCTATAGAACTTCAAAGCTTTTATGGAATCCGTTACACTGCTACAGTATATTGTCCTAGGAGTTTTCTTAATCAATTCAGATCAGACAATCATGCCAAACAAGTCAAAATAACCCATGCATGGTCAGATATCCTAAAGTTACTTCATAAGAACCGTAAAGTCAAAATCTTAACACATTATACATGGGATGCTTGATATTTAGCATCTATGCCTTGGACATAAATTCATACTTGTTTATCATCAGCACAGATCTCTGTAGCGTACATTCTAATTAATTTTTTAAGTAACAGTTTGCGGGAAATCTTTTGTTAATAAAGATCACAAGTGCCATGTCATTTTCTTGTTTGATTACAAGCATCGTTAATCGACACAAATGCTACCATAAACTGCAATGACACCAACTTTCTATCTATTAAAATGATTACTCTATTTTCCACTGATTGTAGGAAGGCTATTCACTCAAACTAATGAACTCACCATGGTGAAAGTGAAAGTCTGAAACCTGTCCACAAGGTATGGGTACCTAAACAAGTTGGAAAACCTACAACAACTCATGTACCAAAACAGCAACAGCGCAAGATTTTTCCTTAACAAAGATTTTTATCAGTTAGAATCTACTGCTATATAGGAATTGCACAGATCATGCTAGCCTCAAACATGAATTTCATTCAACAGTTATATATCTTCCACTTAAAAGTTAACCCCTAAAATAGAGTTAATGCTTACAGAATACAACATGTTGAAAGGCCAGTATGGATTTAAATGGTACAAAACCTGTTTTTCTATATCATCAAATCTCATAAATGTCATCTATAAGCAAAATTTATATCGTTCAATTAAAAAAACTATCTACAGCCTTACCTTAAACTCAAGAAAACTTGTTATAGTGACTGTTATAAATATCGAAAAGAGTCAGAGGTCACAGACAATATCATTCATCCAATGTCAAGTAAAACTTTACCAAGATAACTATTCAAGTTCTACAATGAAAACTAGAATGAATGACTATGACTCAAAGTAGCATCAATAAGAAACCAACATTCTGTTATAATCTCTAACTTCATCCAACAAAGAAAGATGACAAGGTATGAAAGCATCATCAAGAGGACCGGTGAGAGCTATCACAAGATTAACAAAAATATCATCATGATTCCAATCATGTCTATCAATGACAGAAAATTAGTGCAAATATTATCAAAATTTGCAAATATAAACAATTTTCTTGCTCATTTGGACACGAATACCAAGCTGCATATGGAGAAGTACTTCTACAAACTCAAATTCCACATAATTCATATAAAATTTAAAGCAATCTAACCAAAACAGAAATGTTATATCACCGGTCTAAATTCAAAAATACAACATTTCCATCATCTATTTTACCGATGAATATTAAGCATATCTTTTGCTTCACTCTGTTCCTCCAACAATCCTTCACTCGCATACTTACTCAATAGCTCCATCTTCTTCTTCTCCACAACCATCCTCTCAATCTCTTTCTCATCTGGCAACGGCACGTGAACAACAAACTCCCTCTCCTTCTCCATCCTCTCTTTCTCCTCTCCTCTCCTCTCCCTCCTCTCCTCCTCTACCACATTCCTCCTCTTCCTCAACAACACCTCCCTCACCGCAGCCCCCACACTAACCACCTCCTTCGCCCCTCTCCTTGCCTCTCTTCTAATCTCCTCTACTCTCCTCCACTCCTCCTCCGCTTCCGCCCTTATCTTTGCCTCCGCAGGCCCCTCCACTCTCTCCAAAACTCCATCCTCATCATCCCTATACCCATAATAACTCGCATCAATCCTCTTATATATATCATATCTGGTTCTTCTCTTTCGCAATTCCGGCGGCTTCTCAAACAACTCTCTAACTCCCGGCAACTTCTTCGCCGCTCCAAAATACCGGTACCCAGGCCCTCGTCCGCTAGGGTTGGGAACATCCACTATATTCCCTTCTAAATCCGTCATTTTAGGAGCGTGTTTGGCATAATTCGAGCCGCCAAGTTCGACAATACGGCGTTCCCAATGTGACTTTTCCCGTATGAGCTTGTTGATCTCGTCGTTGAGGTCGCGGAGGCGGTGCTCCCCAAGACCTTCGTTTTGGATCTCGGCGACTTTGCGGCCTATCTCTCGCATGATTTGTTGACGCCATTTGTCCGCCTCGGCGAGGTCGCGGCATTCCGAGGCGAGATATGGGCGGCGCTCTTTGGGTTTCCTTTTTTCCTCGGCTTTTAGGGCTATGAATCGATTGAGCATCGATTGAGCTTTCTCTTCGTTTCGAGCCATTTTCTGGATGGGGGTTTTTGAACAGAGATTAAGGTGCCTACGAAGGTTAAATTGACGGAGAGTGAGAATTAAACCCTAAAAAAATCACAACAGCTGATAAACCCAGCAAGAAACGAGGGATCTGGATTCTACGCTGGTAGCACGGTAGAAATAGTTTAGGCGGCACGTCTGATATCGTTCTTGATATTTTTATATATATTTTTTAAAGAGTTTGTCCTTAATTACTACTCCATTTAGAATTTAAATTTATGAGTTAAATAAAAAGTTGGAGGAGGAAATTTAAATATATATTAAAATGATTAATATTTTCTAAATTTGATAATAACTTTTTCTTAGACTGTTTAGTTAATTACAAACTGATTTAATCTTTAATAAATGTGTATAATCATCTCCAATTCTCCTTTTTTGTCAATCATACTATATATCATCTTTATTATACTACTTTAGCCCCTTAAATTTGATTTTTAGAAATAAAATTAAAAAAATAACTTGATTTTGAAAATAACATAAAATAAAAAGAGAACATAAAATTTGAACTTGAAATTTTTTCTTTAATAGCTTTTTGAAAGTTAAAAAATAAATAAAAAAACCCCTACCTAAAAATAATATATCTCAATAGTAATATATATTTATACTTAAAAAAATTAACTTATTTAAAAAATTTTAATAAATTCTTTTTTTATTACGTTTAATTAAATTTTATATTTTTTTATTTTAAAATCTTAAATTTAATAATTGACTAAATGTTATTCATCAAAATATCACCTATTATTTAATATTATATAATGTTGATGTATCTTGATAAATGATGATTTGTCATGCCAATGTAATATGATAAGTCATATAAAATTTTTAACAGTTTTTATTAACATAGTGTCAATACTATGTCAACAATGAATAACAATAAAATAATAAGTACATTTTAAATAATGATAATTAATCAATAGTTAGTTATAAAAATTTATTTAATTTAAAATAAAAAAACTTAATTAATTATAATAGAAAAATAAAAAATTATTTAAATAATTTTTAATAATTTATAGGTTTTTCAAATATTATATCAAAAAATTATTTAAATAATTTTAAACTTAATTATAAACCCATATAAAATTCAAATAAAATGAAATTTTAGCCATGGGGAGAAATGTAAACACAATATATGTGTGTCCAAAACCATTTCGGTTAAACTAAATAATAAAAGTGAAATCAGATTTAAATAGAAAATATAAATTCAAATTGTAAAAAAAAACTGATTGAATTATAATAAAAAATAAAAATATTACTGAAACTAATGATTAAATATCTAAATCATTCTCCAAACTATATTGAAAAATTCAATTTAACCTCTTCTAATAAATCACTAAACTTTTATTTTAAGTTAAATAAACCTCTCTCACTATTTATTAATAATTTTTTTATGTCACATCATTATGCGATATTGTCGATCATTAATAAAAAGGGTTTACTTGATATAAAATAAAAATTTTAAATTTTTTTTGAATGTAATAAAAAAATAAAAAATAAATTAATGTTTTTTGTATAATTCAAAAGCTTTTTTTTTTAGCGTTTAATTAAACTCATGTATTTTAATTTTGAGTCAAATAAGTTTTTATAACAAACTTTTAATCAATTACCATTAATTAAGATATCATTTATCATTATATATATATATATGACATGAACAGTAAAAAATGCAACGTAACAATATCATCACCCAACATCAAATTCATTATAACATGTAAATATTACGTAATATTCAATGACAAATAATATTTTGACTAACAATAATTGATCAACCAGTAATTATCAGTGTTTATTGAATACAAAATAAATATATAAGAACTTAATTAAACGTAATAAAAATTTATTTCAATTTTATTAAATAAATAATAGATTTTTTTAAATATTACATATTTAAAAACATATTATTAATAATGAATTTTTCAATGAATTTAACTTTAAATTTTAAAAATTAAAAATCGATAGAAATATTGGAACAAACTGTCCCTTCTAATTAATTATCAATCTATCTAAATTAATCAAGTTCAATCTGTTTTAATCAATTAACATCAGGTTGAACCAATTAATAGTTATGCTGCTGACGAAAGAAGCTAAGAAGAAACTGAGGGATGGCGGGGGTACAGATGAAGGGAGAAAGAGGACGTGCGGAAGATTGCAGCAGCAACTTAGTTGGACGACTTACAATGGTAGCAATAGCCTATGTGACTACAATTGATTCTTGAGAGACCCACCACCACCACCAGATAAACAGATTTACAGATGAATTGTTATCGAAAAGGCACAGAGTATTGTTTAAGCAGTGAAAGCTTACTAGCTTGATCTGATAAGAAAAAGTGATTTAACATTATGCAAAGAAAACAAAATGCGTTTCTTGGAGGTGTTAATGATAACAGAGTTTCGCTGGCTCCTGGCGGAGGCCCGAGACAAACCATAGAAATTCCGTCCGGTTGCTAATAGGGCTGAAAGAGACTGTTGTAGCTTACGACGGTGCCACTGCTAGCAAGCTTTTATTTGGTAGAAACTGAAGTCCTTTACAAGGTGACTCATACGAGGAGATTGAATTTCCCCTTCATTAGTGATGAGAATTTATGAAATAACGATAACTAATAACCTAGCTAATGGGCTAAAAGAATACACACAAGCACAAAAGGTCAAAAAATGTTGAAATTGATAAGAGAAATCCAGGCTTATGCCACTTACTTCACCTTGCGCAAGAATAGCTAAAGCTTCTATTCTGGGAAAACCACTACAACCTTAGTAGGCTATTTAAGCCATCGATTTCAGTAAAATCAACACCATCAATTTTGAGCCATCAGATTATTGCATGCAATTCCTGAAAGACACCATTGTAAGTTGCCTATGATAGGATTACAACACATCATCAAAGAAGGCAGTTTCAATGTTGAACCAGAAAATAGTACATTGATAAGTTTTCACAAAACTATTTTCAGGTACCTAACATTTAGATATTTTTAATACTATAAAACCGTCTGCTGTCAGAGAAAACCACACTACACTGCAGCTATAATGGATCACCAATTTCATAAGTAAGGAAAGTCCGTTCGTGCTGCAGCCACAAAAGATCCTTGAGTGAGAAAAAGATGGTATTCACTAAAACAAGCAAGTTCATCTTAAAAAACCATCAAAGTTCCAAATTGTAGAGCCACAAGAATAGCAAGCAGGTGGAGAAATTGCAAACGTTGAAGACACAGGAACAGTAAAGAAAGTTCTTGCCAGCTAGCAATTGATGAATCAAGCAAATATACTTTCAAGATACCTTGACATCAAAGACAAACTTGCTTGACCAACTCTTTCTACACCAAAATATAGCACTGCTCATAAACACTTCATGAGTAAGAAATGCATGTGTGATATTTGGATTATTAATATATTCCACAAATGCTGCCTCTCAGATAAAACCAGATGTCCAATCCACATCAAACATGGAAAAAAAAAAAAGAGTTGCTCAAAAATCTCTCAAAATTAGAAGTCCTTATGAACAACATGATGCCAATGCTACGAAAATTTAACAGGCCAACATGGTGGACTTTGTGGACCAAAATCAGGAAGCTCTCATTTGAACTCATCCAGAGAAGGAAAAACTTTTGTATTATATAACTTGCTTGACATCAGGCAATTCAAGAACTATTGATCCAACAATGAACTTTTCAAGCAAAATCCTGTTTTATGTCCTAATGAACATTGTCAAAACAAATATTTCAAACAAAGCTATAAAGTAAGAAATGGAACATCTTTAATTCAAAATCAGTCACAAAAAGCATCCTCCTAGACTTTGGATGTCCCATGAGCCTTTCTTTCTAGGTTGGAAAATTTCCAGTGAAAGCAAGTTAAAAAAATCAGTCAGCCACATATCACTTCTACCTTTGATAAATTTATTTCAAGACCAGAGCTCAGTTAACTAAGATTGAAAATAAAATATTCCAACCATTCTGATCCAAACCAAAAATGATTTCAATAATTAAGGTCAATTTCAACAATCAAACAAATTCAGAATGGTCAAGTGGTGCATAGGTGATACCTAACCAACAAAAACTAACTCATATTTGGTTTTTAACTGAATTACATTAAAACCACAAAAAAAAATTGCATATACATTCCATCAAAAATAAAACTTTTAAAGAAAACAGCCACTATGCTAAAGCACCTAACAATTCATCAAGAACCCAATTCACAATTCTAAATTAAAACACTTAAACAACAAAATGTACCTTTCACCTAGACTTCACCTAAGCTTCTGCTTCCCGGAACTTTTCCTAGCCGCTTCCTTAACCTTCTCAATATACCCTTCAATAGGCGGAGTCAAAGTGGCCATAAACCTATTCGCCGGAAATGGGCTCAAATCCGGTACCAAAGCCGCCTCCTTAAGCAACTCTGGCAAGGCCTCAATCGCCTCCTTTTTCATTCTCAACAAATTACTCTCAGCCGCCTGCCTTGCCCTATGCTTCCTCATTAAAACCCTACTATACTCCTTAGCCAATCTCCGTCCATCCTCCACCGTCAGCTCGTATTTGGGTATCTTATCAGCATCAACAAGGCCCAATGTGATCAAATCCAGCCCAGGTGTTCCCATTATCATAGGATCATCAGGAACTCCCATCGCTTTTCTTCCTCCTTTCTTCAAAATCTCCATTTCCCTTTGCCGTTCTTTGCTTATTAATCCCAATTTTTCCCGCTCGGCTTCGCGGGCTCGCTCCTTGGGGGAGAGGTGACGGACTGGCGTGGGCGCATTGAGGCATTGGTCGTAGAGTCTTTGGTTTTCGTCGGGGATTCGGCCACCTTTCGGGAGGGAATCGTCAGTAGGAGCGCCGCCTTTACCTTTTTTGGTGGAGACTTTGGTGCGCTTTAAAGGTTGGCCGGCTTTGAGTTTGGCTTTGCCCTTGGCGGTTCCGCTGACGGTGCAGCGTTGGAGGAGTTGGTGACCGAGTGTTGTTAGAGGTTTGGGATTGTTTGCGATTCGGATCATGGTTTTTCTGGGGTTTAAGAAACTCAATAATTAAAATGCTTTCTATTTCGTGAAATGAGAAAATGAAGGAAACTGAGGTTTTGGGTTTATCGGAAAATGAGAAATAGCCGTCCGCCCCTCCGGTGGATTTGATGTTAAACCTAGTTGGAGACCGTCTGAGTCCCTCAACCTACTAACGGCCCATATTTTTTCTAAGGTGGACTTTTACGGCCCATTTATTTTTGTGCAAACTATTGTATTATGAATTTAAACCAAATGAAATTATAATAGAAAAAAATGCTATAGTGTTTATAAAATATTCTTTATTACACCTATTTTATTTATTTATGAATAATAAAAATTAATTAAAACTTGAACAAAACCATATGATTAAATACAGATTTGAAACTACTACAACTTTATGTCAATACAAATTTTTTTTTTGTGAAAAAAAAACACCTTTATCACAATTACGAGTTAATTAGAGATGATTTGATTTAGTATTAGATTCGAGTTCGACTCAGTTAAAGGCCTCAAGCTCAATCAAATTTAATTTTTATTTGTGTTTGATTTCGATATTTGAATTATTTAAGTTAGATTTGATTAAAGGTAATTATAATTAACTTAATTTAAATTTAAAATTAATGTAAAATTTAAATAAATATTATATTATATATATAATATTGAAAAATTCAAAATGAATCACTGGAATGGAATATTATAAAATTTAAATTTGGTTCAAGATAAATGAGTCCAATTTAAATAATCAAATGGGGTCTAAATAGTTTACCAATAATTTGCACAATAACATTGTTAAAAAATAAGATTGGTTTGAAGGAAAGAGGCTCACGAGAGCCCAAACGCAGTCGATTTTCCAAAAATACCTACTTCCTCCCAAAAGCGACAAAATGTATTTTGGAATTAACTGAGCACCGAGCAGCCATCGTTTATTTGTCTTTTAGCCCAAACCCAAAGGCAGCGGTTTATCACTGGTAGCTTCGTTGTAGCTCAACGCACATAATAAAACCCTAAAGAAGGAAGACGAACATTTTCAGAGAAAAAAATGGGCATGAAAGCTGTGGATTTCTCGCTTAGAATCAACCCTTCTATTTGCTTTACTCAAAACCCACCAAAACCTTTCTCCAAACTCATCAGATGCTCTCTCTCCCCTGACGGTGCCGCCACTGGTAAACTCTGTTTCCTTTTTCTTTTCCTTCTAAAGTTAGTCTCTTCCATTTTTCTGTAATATTGGGTGGTTTGCAGGGTTGGCGGAGAGGCCATGGAAGTTAGCGGATGCAAGGCTGGTTCTTGAAGATGGTTCTGTTTGGAGGGCTAAATCTTTTGGTGCCTCTGGAACCCAAGTCGGTGAAGTGGTTTTCAACACTTCTTTAACCGGGTAAGATGATACATTATTTGAATTTTGGTTTCTTTTTAGAATAAACAAAATTAAGGAAATTTTGACTGCTTGTTGATGCTTAATATGGGGTATTTTTCAACATGAGATTGCCTTAGCTTTTGGTTTAAAATCTTAAGAAATTTCAAAGTGTCTGAATGACAATAATGGAACGACGAAAGAAGGTGGGATTTTATAAACTTAAGTTTCAGTAAATTTTTTAATTTGAAGCTGTGTTTGATAAGATTATCTAGAGTTTGTGTAATAATGGAATTAATGAAGACTTCTTCCTTTTATTCATTGTTGTTTTAAGGCTTATCATTGCTTTTATAGTGGAGTTATAAACTTTGTTATCTGTTATGTTTTTGCTTTGTTTCCTTCTCATTGTAGAGTAAATATGTGGACTATGGAAACTGAAGTTTATTATCTGCATGCGTTGTCTAATTCATATACAAAATATAATTGTTATGCAGGTATCAAGAAATTCTAACAGACCCTAGTTATGCTGGTCAGTTTGTCCTGATGACCAATCCACATATTGGCAACACTGGAGTAAATTTTGGTAAGTAAATTTTACCTTTCAAATCCTTTCAACTCTGACATGTTGAAAAACTATATATGATCTGATGTTGATGCGTACCCCATCAGATGATGAAGAATCAAGTCAGTGCTTTCTTGCGGGCCTGGTGATTAGAAGTCTAAGTATTACGTAAATTTTGTCCTTTTCTCATTCTCTTAGATTATGCCATTTACAGCTGTCACACAAAAGGCTTGCTCCTTTGTTTCCCAAATTCTAATTAAATGTTTTGCAGCACTTCAAATTGGAGATGTGCAGAAACCCTTGGTGATTACTTAGCAGAAAGAAATATTATGGGAATTTGTAAGTTGTATGTATGGCCCTGGATATCTAGATAGTTGACTGCTTAACCTAAGATGTACTGTGACAAATCTTTTCTTTGGGCATCACTTCTGGCCTCCTTTGATCTCGATGCTTTCCTATAATGGCAGATGATGTTGATACACGTGCAATCACCCGCAGATTGAGGCAAGATGGAAGTCTTATTGGGGTTTTGAGCACTGAACAATCTAAACCAGATAAAGAACTTTTGGAATTGTCACGTTCATGGGACATTGTAGGTAAGAATAGCTATACTTATTTAAAAGTTATGAGCAATTTTTAAAGGATAAGCAATCTTATTCTTCTTGTCTTTATTTTGCAGGTATTGATTTAATAAGCGGTGTTTCCTGCAATGCCCCTTATGAATGGGTTGATAAAACAAAATCAGAATGGGACTTCAACTCCAATGGAAGAGATCGAGAGACTTACAGAGTTAGGATTATTTTTGAAATTTTATGTTGGAGCTTTTAATCCTTGCTCTGTGTCTGCGCTTACACTGCTCCATTTCTTTTTAAATTGAAGGTTATTGCCTATGATTTTGGGATCAAGCATAATATACTTCGGCGCGTAGCATCTTATGGCTGTCAAATCACTGTTGTCCCATCCACGTGGCCTGCTGCTGAAACCCTTAAGATGAAGCCAGATGGAGTTCTTTTCAGCAATGGTCCTGGAGATCCTTCGGCAGTTCCTTATGCTGTTGAAACGGTTAAGGAAATTCTGGGAAAAGTTCCTGTTTTTGGAATTTGCATGGGCCATCAGTTACTTGGCCAGGCCTTGGGTGGTAAAACCTTTAAGATGAAGTTTGGTCACCATGGAGGAAATCATCCTGTTCGCAACCTTCGCAATGGTCGTGTTGAGATTAGTGCTCAGGTGTGTTTAACTAGCCAAAGTGTTTCCATGCATAAATAAATCCCTTGTGTGCATGTATAGTTTTGTCAGCATGGATTTAAATTTTTCTCTGTGGGAACCAACCCGCTCCACTTAAACGCCCCCTTGTTCCCTTCCCCCAACCCCCTCCCCCTCCCCCCCCCCCCCCCCAAAAAAAAAAAGAAAGAAAGAAAATAGACACACACTAAAATGAAGAAACAAAGTTTTGATATATTCATCTGAATATTGCAGATCTTATTCATATTTTTATTGCCAATGTTTTGTATTTGTACTATTTATAAGTTTGGATGTATATCTACTTGGTTAGATGTGTTTAAAAGTGCACTGTATCATTTGTGTTGTGTTTTCACCTTAGAATTTATTATTTGGCAGAATCACAACTACGCAGTTGATCCTGCATCACTCCCTGAGGGTGTGGAAGTGACTCATGTCAATCTTAATGATAGAAGCTGTGCTGGTCTTGCATATCCTGCTTTAAATATTATGTCTCTTCAGTACCATCCTGAAGCATCCCCAGGACCTCATGATTCAGATTGTGGTGAGAACTCTTTCCTGCATCTAATTTTGGCGAATTGGTTTTAAGTTTTGCCTTTTTAACCAAGATCAAAGATTTCCATGTTTGTTAAAACCATTTCTTTCGCTCAACACATGTTGTTTCTTGCCACAGCTTTTAGAGAATTCGTAGAGCTTATGAAGTTAACAAAACAAGCTGCTTGAAGGAATCTGTGACTTCCAAAGGTTCAAATTTTTGGGTGTTGTCTATGATTGGTGATGATTTGAAGGGCTATTGTTTGGTTGATTTTTGCTTTATCTGGAGAGAAGGAAGAAGGGAGTGCTCTATGTCACAATTCTGTATGAAATAGTTTAGATACTTTATATGTTTTCTATTTTTGAACTGTACTTGATGAGTTATAGAAAGATGAACACCGATTATTGGCATTAACTTTTGACTCACAATACACTTTGTAGTTTTAGCATAATATTATCATGTTTTCAAAGTGAGGTAGCATGTTCATTTCCCTATTAGTAGGGTGGGAGTAGGGTATTGTATTGAGGTTCTGGTGTTAAGGAGATGTGTGAAAATAAACTATCGATGCTGTTAGTCCTAGAGCAAGAGTGTAATGCTCACCTCTGGTGAAGATGGAAGAGACAGCTATAGCACTTGTCACTCTGTATCTGTATTGGGTCGCACTTATGTGACAAGTAGATCCAAATTCAAATTATGTCTTAGCAAGATTCTGCAGGTGAAAATCACCTCTGAAGGTAAGCAGGGAGTAGCTAGAAATATACATGGTACCATCAGCTACCCTCTAATAAAACAAGAAATTTTCCAAATATACAACCATTTGGAACAAAAACCGGCCAGGATGCATTTGATTGAGAAGAATCAGCATTTATCATCTATACCTTAGGCATATGAGGGATAATATTTAATTAAAAAAGAAATACTAGTAACAACATGAATTTTATCTAAAATCACACCAAGCAAAGAGTAGAAAATGCTGGCTGGCTTCAATCCATGGACCTAATGTTGGCTTTGTTAAAGTTTGAATGTCTAAATGCTAAATAGTCCGACTGTTTCACATAAAATGACATCTGAAAAGTCAGCCTGGGAAGCTGAAATTTGATTCAGGCTGTCTTACAGCTTTCTGAACAAGATTTTCATCTCCAAAATAACTAGTTCTTTTTAGAGTCTTGCCAAATAAGAATTGGTGGCAGGCAGGCACCTCAATTTAAAAATGTAGCAAAGTAACCAATTGAAGGATGAAGAATCAGAATCAGGAAAGCGTGCCAAAGCACCAAATGCGACTAGCTTCATTCTACGTTCTTTCACTGTTTCTGTTTTCTTTTCAAATTGTTCCATTGTTGATTTTGTAGGTAGGGACTAGCATTTGACGAGCTGCTTCTCTTCATGGCCAGAGTTGCAGTTCCATCAAGTTGCTTTTAGGGTGATTGGAGTATTTGCCTCTGCACCTGAATTTCATGGCAGACAGTATATGGTTTAAATAAACTAAACAAGTTAGTTCATCCAATATATTTTATATATTTGTAGATTAATTATTACAAAATAAATTAGGAAGCACTCTTTGCATGCAAAGTTGAAAAGAAAGTATAAGTCAGAGAATTAGTAACTGATTAAACAAAGTCATCAGTCCATCTTAAACATTTAAACAAGTGACATGGTTAAGTAATATTGTAAATGAATAATACATCAATCTATTAAACCATTTATATCCATATAATACCGAGTTAGATGTGATCCAAACTAAGAGATTGACATTATATATTAATATGAATTTCATAAAGGAATGCATGGAAAGAACTCTCAAAAAGTGTCATTCACCCTAGCAGAAACTATTAGCCAGTTCATATGAGAAGCAAAGATTTCATGTGTGAAATGGGCAGACATGTAAATCAAGCAAATAGTATCCTAAAAGAAATGTAAATAAATCTGCCAATATTGGTGTCCAAGAATCACCAATAGCAACATGGAAGCAAAGATAATCACAAAAGGCAAACATGAAAATATTAACTTCTCTGGGAAGCTCATCCTTATGCAGGAAAGTCTTCAAGAATGAGAGGTAATTTTCTTATTTCCATGATCCAGAAACCAAAAAAAAAAAAAAACTATAGAGCATTTTACCTGAAGAATAGTTTCCATTGCTTTGAAATATTAAGATTTAGGAGCTCATTTCGACTGTGTTTGATACCATGAACATAAAAAAGAAAGTACGACATCAAAAAATGGAATGCTTCCAGGTAAGTGGAAAGCAGTAGGATCTAACCAATATTAATACCAAAAGGACCTAGCATGCTATTAAGAAGACCCGCCATTTACCACATTATGTTTTCTGCTATATTTAGCACATCATCATAAAGAGAAAGGCATACAGTTATCATCTAATATAAAAATATAATCAAACCTTAGAATCCTACAGGGGAAAAAGTTTTAATGCATAAATACAATGTATTACCTCTTATCAATTGTCATAAGATTCTTCAGTTATTGGTAGTCAAGAAGATTTTCCAGGAAGCTGGCAGCAGCTTGGCCACCAGCAGTCCCCAGTACAGAATCTACTGTATTTGATCTCTTGAGCACCAGTTCCAGTCTCTGCTTAATAGGCAAATTCTAGTGCAACACTGAATTCAAAACTAGGAAGTGTTTGTTGACTGGGGTTTTTGAGTTCAGTGTTGCACAAGAATTTGCCTATTTAAGTGTTTGTTGACTGGGGTTTTTGAGATGGGTGAGTGAAATGGAGCTTCTGACTTCTCCACCTCACTCATGTGGTTCTTAAGCTTTAACAAGATGAGGGTCACTAGCTTCCTCCCTGTTTTACGAGTTTCATACTGGTTTTGGGAAAAACAAATCTCCTCTCTTCTGTTGCTTTGGCTGGTTGATGACTTGTTAGAGGGGCAACTGACATGCATACTATGGATATCTGATCTGGCAATGGACTACAAGATCTGATGTAAACGATTAGCACTTGTGCACCCAAAGTTGAGAAAAGAAAGGAGTAATAAGCTTAGCAAAGCAGAAACAATAACCACTAAAGGGTGCTGCAGGTTGCCAGAACTGAAGGACTGTCTCTACGGATTAGACCAGTTCCAACTTTACTCAACATTGAGCGTGCTACTCTTTAGAAAATCTTCTGACCATCAATGTGGAGCTGCTTTATCATCTAAGAGGTTCCAGAAAGAAGCTGAACCACAGAGCTATCCGGAGAAAAATAATCCCAGTAAGAAGTCTGAAATACAAGGGAAATAGACAAAAGTTTCAAATAGATAGGAAAAAAGAGAAATTTTGATAACTAGGAGTGAGGCAGCGATGTCATTTCTGTTTTCTCATTTTATTTTTCCAAACATGAAAATAGTACTTCCTATAATGTTTCTGATAAGCAAATCAAGAAGATTGTGGTTTTCTGCTTCTCTAAAAGAATGGTTAAAACAATATTGTATTTTTTCCACAGAAAAGTGTCTGCTATCAAGGGGCTTACTTTTTAAGAAGCAATCTAGAAAACCAATACTTAACCCTATGTTTGACTCTGACCGGAGAAGAAAGAAATGAAAAGAAAATGGCAAAGTTTTCTTCCAACTTTTTGATAAAATCGGTGGAGAAAAGAAAAAGAGAGAATATTATATTCCACGCATACATGGACACAGTTATGCACATGCTTCTTTTCTGAAGTATATTTGTGTTAGTGAAATACCAAAGCTATCCCCAAGCGGGGGGTGGGGCAGCGCCAGTGGGGATTACAGCTTTTATGTCTCAGATTATGGTCCATAGAGATGATGCAAGATGCACATAAATGTAAACGCAACATGCCATTTGATGGCAGAGGAAAGTAATAACATCCAGAATGCACTCCATTATGTTTACAGGACCTGCTCGTTCAAGCTTTTTTCTGTCCATGCACCACAACAGTAAAGCTGTCCCGACTTGAGCCAAAGCACCACAGGCCAGCAACTTCTTGGGCCAAAACAACATGGCCCTCAAAAAGTTTAAGCTCAAGTGACTAGTAGCAATTTACTTGGACCCTTATATGGTCTTAAAATCACTTGCATCAAATGTGGATAAGGTAACAAAATCCCATCCACTCAAATCCTTAATGACTTCATCAAGGCCACCCATCCACAATCACAATCAAGGCCCACTCCATACTACCAAGATTTCTTTAGCACCATGTGGAGCCCACACTGGGCTGGCACCTGCTTTGACACCAAATGTAACAAGTTAAGCCCAAGCACCACTAACTTAGCAATTTTTCAAGCTTAAACCACGTGGCCCTTAAAAGCTTAAACTCAAGTTATTAGTAGTGATTGACTTGAACCTTTGTATGGGTCTTAATAATCACACTCACATCAGATGTGGGATGCGATATCTTAGAAGCACAAACTAATGGTGCTCTAAATCCTATCTAAAGAATTTAAAAGGAAGCAGTGTTGTCAACATGGACAATTATTTTAAGTTATAAAGGACACAGGCAAGCCCAATAAGATGCCACCTTCCAATAACTCTTTCTTCTTCTCTTTTTGTTCTTGTTCCTCTTCATGCTGCTTTCATCGTTGGGTGCTTGCTTATGGTTTTTTAACCAGGCTAGTTAATCTATAAATCCAATAGCTCATAATAGGAGAAGAAGTACCAAAGATAACGAAACAAGCATATCTTAATTTGATAAGAAGAGTTGCAAAATTATGTAAAGTGTGTCAAATTGAAAGTGCACAGTAAATTTACCAAGACACCCCCATCAGAATTATACCAAAGATTGGCATTTAGCAATCATACTTCAACAGTGGCATATTTTTATCCATTTCAGTATTGTGCAACATCATCTATAGTTCGTTTGGCCAACATGAGATTAATGGAGCTAAGCTACTGCCAATAACTATTTTTCTTCTCTTCTTTAGTATCTCAAATAATATCACCGGACTAGTAAACTTAGACACAAAGAGCTTTAACCTATTTCTTTCATTCCAAATAATCAGAAAAATATACTAATACTGCATCAATAGGTTGATTAGATAAACTTCATCCTCTTTGGAAACCAAAGGGTAAGATTATGAATTAAACAACAAGGTAGTCCTTTTGCTCCAAGAGAAGATGTGCTTGGTAGCTAGTTCAGCATTACAATAGTAATTAATAAGTATAGTTGTTTTGGCATCCAGAGGTACTTTGGTTATTTTATGTATTGCTGGAATGGCCCTTAGAGTTTTATGTTCATTCAAACTGTTGGATTTTAATGTATTCTTTATTTTATATTAGTTGAGTTCTATTCCTGAGTCTAATGGTTTAGGAATCTAGTCCACCAAGTGGGACAAGTTAGTAATTGCCTATTATATCTCTTTGTCTGGTCAAAAATGGTAGAGTTGATTTTAATAAAGATTTGAGTTCATGAGAATTCTTGGAGAATTTGTGATTGAGTTTTCCCTCCCTTCTTATTCTCTCTTGCTACAGTATTCTCTGGTGACTGTTCACAGATTTGAAACAGCAGTAGTCATTTGCTCTATAATTGTACCGCTACCAGAAAATTCCAGCAACCCTTCCCTGACTTTCCAGCCTTCTTTTGAGTTCTGATCTAAACTGAATTTATCCTAGTTCAATGCAAAACCCTAACCTTAATTTTACCATAACTCCTTAACTTGTATAAAGGGCATTTTATGGTCTAGACTGATATCATGTATACATTTGGCCTATCTGCAACTGTCAAACATCATTCTTAAGGTGATCACAATCCTTACATTGATGTTTCTACATCTCTTATAGAATGTTAAACTATAGAGTAAAAAAGCAACTGAAAAATGCACATAATACTTCAAAACCCTCTTCTCGAGGAGACCAAACTTATGCAATTTTTGTGATCAAAACAGGATAAGCTTCTTAATTTGATGAATATTATTCAGAAAGCATTAAATTCGTAATTATGAAATGGTTTTAACTTGCACAGTTTCCTCCTAAGAATACCTTGCATCTTCTCTCCAAGCTGCATAATGCTTTCATGGAGCAAATTAATTTTCCAAACCTGAAAATCAAGTGAAAAATAAGGAGAAGAAACACCATCGGAAAATAAAAGCAGAGAGGTATCCAGTGTCTTTAAAGCAAATTGCAAAACAGAATAAAAGAAAATTTTAACCTGAAGTTGTAAAGAATTCATCTCTCGTCCTCCAGTATCAGATCTCCTTGTTAATACAAAGGCTTGGGCAGTTTCACATCCTCAGGCTACACAGTAATTGCAAGCAAATTCAGCATATTGAATTACTGAGTACCAAGAGGATTATTAAGCACTATTATAGGTACATACCTTGAACACTCAAATCTTTACACAAAAATTAAACAAGATAAGAGGAAAGAATGATTTGTCCCTTTATGCCAGCTTAAACACTGCACCAATCTCAAACATTAATTTTTACATCATCATCCAATTCCAAACAGAAACCTCATTGAATATCACATATATGAAAAGAATCACCACAAGTTCATCCAACTGCTAAAGTATCATATGCATGGTTTCAATACCTGAGTCCTGAAAAAGCAAATAACTTCTACTCTTGTTGTGAGAAAGCTTTCCTTCTTCAGGCCTGCCACATACTCACAGGCCACTTTCAAATATAAAGATAAGATAAAAGGTCATGTATGAGCATTTCTATCCTGCAAGACAAAATATAATGACAATCACTCAGCAGCATTCTATGATTCAATGTAACTTATGTTTTAGATAAATCACCCACTTGAGTCACAGAGGTCCTTACTTCTCACAACTCTCTTGGCTATCAAGATGCAGTGGTGCAACAATGTATGGGTATCTGGCTGTATGCCCTTACTTAGCAGTTCATTAACAAGGGTTACAGCCTTGTCTATATATCCTCCTTTCAAATAGCCTGAAATAAGAGCTGTATATGTCACAGTATCAGGTTCCAATCCTCTATCTATCATTTCATCAAAGATCCTACTTGCATCCTGAAGATTGTTTGTCTTACAGAAATGATCAATCAAAACAGTATAGCAAACAACATCAGGTTCTACTCCCACGTGCTTCATTTCACTCCAAAAAGGTGAAGCAACAATTATTGCCTTGTCATTTTTTTGTGTCATATCAGGATTAGAAAGAGACCTCAAATTCATTTTCATATGGCTGTTAAGCAAGACTGTATAAGTGATAACATCAGGTTTAATCCCTCTCTCCTTCATATTATTGAAAAGATCCAAGGCCTTCTGCAAAAGTTTCACCTTACAATATCCATTTATCATTATTGTGTAAGTAACTAGATCAGGTGTTAGCCCCTTCTTAATCATAATATTAAACAACAGCTGGGCAATACTCAAATTTCCGGCCTGACAAAATGCGCCAATGAGTTTACAGTACATTAATTTGGTAGGTTCAGCATTCAAAGAGAACATTATCTTGAGTAACATAAGAGCTTTGTCATTATCACCTTTCATGCAAAGACTACTAAGGAGTTTTGAGCAAGAAGCCTTTGTCACTAGAAATCCCTGCTCAGACAGCCTAACAAATAATTGAAAGGCTTCTTTTGTTAGGCATGCTTCACAATAACCATCAACTAAGGCAGCATAATTTTCCAAACACTTTCCCGGCAAACTATCTAAAAAATTTTCAGCTTCCTTCACCTTATCTCCCATGCATAAGCCTTTAATGATCATGTTGTGTATGACAGTATCACATTTCAAACCTTGTGCCTCCATAGAATTTAAAAGATCAACTGCCCTTTGTGCTTGGCCATTTCTAGCTAAGCCGCCAGCAAGTACACTATAAAAAACAATATCAGGCTTGTGGCCGTTGTTCTTCATCTCCTTGTACAAGTTCCATGCATCTTCAACTTTACCTTGACGACAATATCCATTGATCAAAGTGGTATAGTTAATAACATCGGGAGAAATCTCTTTACCCTTCATCTCATCAAGCAATTTTTTAGCTTCTTCCATTTTTCCTCCCTTGCAGAGAGCATCTGCTATTACATTATGACAAACCTCATCAAGAAAAATCCCAATGTCCCTAAACTCCTTAAATTGATTTACAGCTTTAAAATCCAGGCCCATCTGACACAGGCTTTGAAGTATTGAGGTCAAAATCACACAGTTTGTTTTGATACCCTTTGATACCATTTCATGGTGAACATCCAAAGCTTTCAATATATTCCCACATTTGCAGTATCCTCTTATCAGAGCACCATAAGAAGTCACATCAGGAACAACCCCATGGTTTTCCGCATCAAATAAGACATCTTCAGCTACTTTCAATTTCATCTCCTTACAGAAGCCCCGAATCACAACACTATAAGCAAAGGGATCAAGAGGAACCTTCGCCTTCCTGCACACTTTAAGCACTTCATAACCTAAATCTGTCCTACCATGCATACAAAGCCCTTCAATATAAGTTGTGTAAGCAAAGGCATTTGGTCTAACTTCTGCTTCATCCATCTCTCGGAAAACATTAAAAGCTTCCTCCAAACTACCCTTTTTGCAAAGTGCCTTAATTAGAATGCTATAAGTATAATCATTTGGCTTCAGTCCAATTCTCTTTAACTGTTGATAAGTAGCTACAGCCATATCAATTTTCCCACAGTGAATCAAACGATTCATAAGAAAATTACATGAAAATATATGTGGAACAAACCCACGTCTTCTAGTTTGAAACAAGATATTAATAACTTCATCAAACATCTCGACACTAACATATGCCTTAACCAATGCATCGGACAATCGAACCAACAAGTATGAGTCTTCTCCCTCAAGCCCCTCTTCAAGAGCTTCACACAAATCCATAATTTCAAAACCTAAACGTTTCTCTTTCCTAATGATTTCCAACAACACCGAATCCAGTTTCCTGTCCCAACCCCAATAACACAATATTCTCACAATAGCAGTGTATGTACAAACATCATGAGAGAACCCATCTTCATTCAATTGGTTAAAAAATGACAACGCCTTATTGGGCTGTTTTATTAAATTATTCAAAGTTTGAACAACTTCAACTCTATCTAATTCAAAGAAGTGGTCACCGTTATGATTCGTATTTGGGATACTGACAGTTTCTTGCTCATCAGATGAACTGGAAGCTAATTGGGCAAGAGCATAGTGCATCTGCTGGAAAACAAAGTATTACAACATTCTCAGTTTCCCTGTTTTAGGTTACATTTAATTCTTATTTCTTACTTTTTGCTTCTGGAATTGAAAAAAAAAAAGCAAAAAGTGCATTTAAGTACCCAAAAAACAAATATTTTGAAGAACTAAAAGTTAAATATGTAATTTTTTTAGAGAATAAAGTGCATGATTTTGCTTTTACATAGAACAAAACGATATTAGAGTTGGTAATGCATTTTAGCTATTTACTCCCTCTATCCATAAAGTTGTCACTGACTTTGTTTTGAAAAAAAAATTTCAACATTCACCTCTATAATTTAAATATTTTAATTAATTAGATTTTACAATATATACATATATATATATATACACACACATATATATGTATATATGTATATATAAACTACTTCAGTCAAAGTTGTTAAAAAACAATTTTATAATTTTTATAATTATAAAAATAAAATAAAAAATGCTCAAAGTTTAATATGTTTTATGAACAATTAGTCAACAAGTGAGAGCTTTATTGGACAAGAGTATTCATTTCTAATCAATTATGATTTTGGTTTTTACTATTTACTTTTACTTTATAGCAAAATTTTAAGAAGCGAAACGCAAAGAGCAAAAGCAAATACTAAGTCCTTAGCTCAGTGCCTGAAGTAATGAATTATGAAGAGACAATGGAGAGACAAATCAAGAACAGAACCTCTTTTGTAGCAGTAGGAGAGTAAGTTGGAAAGGCCCAAAGTGCAGGCCGTATCTTCTGTAAGGACTGTCCCAACATCTAAACAAACAAAACCATCAATACCCATAAATCAAAATGGGAAATATTGCTCAAAAATAAAGAGAAGTGGCAGTACCAGAAGGAAAAGAGCTTGGTTGCAGTAGCCGAACTGAGTCGGAAAACTGTTCAAATTTCAAATACTTAAGAAAGAATTGGGGTTCTTCGATTGGAATCTATTAAAAGATGGAGAAGATAGAGGGCTTTCTGGGTTCCAAAATGAGGGAGAGTTTTTTAAAAGTTGGGTGTCATGAGGCAGGCAGGCTGGTAACTTCCGAGGAAAAACACAAAGCAAAGAACTGCTGTGCTGAGGAAGACGTGCGCAGGGTTTACTCAGGGTTTTACGAATAGCGTCCGACAACGGTGCCTTGGACTAAAACTCCTCGACGTATCCGCGCTTCAGCTTAACTGCCAAAAGAAGGTCTTCAGGGCCGGGTTAACCCCAAAGTTTAAGCGGCCCAATAAATATCAGGTTTGCATTCAGTTCCCAAAAAGTTATTTTCTCAATAAAATATAATTTTAAAAAAATTATTTCATGTAAATAAAGCCCCACGACTACTTATACTACTAACTTTGAACTAAATTAAGAAATGTACCAATTTTATATTTTATTTAGTACCATTTTTCATAATTGCATTAGATACTTATACTTTCTTTAAAAATATTACACATGAAGTATCAAATTCTAAACATATACAAGGACGAAAGGAGAGAGGTAGTGACAGTCACTTTTTAATTTTTAATTTATTTTATTTTATATGTATAAAATTTATAATATATTATTGTGTCACCCCTACACAAAATAAATGAGTTAGTTTGGAGTAATTGTAAGAAATTTAAGTTAATCTTCAAAAGTTATGTTCAATTCTTTTTAAGTTTAAATTTTTATGACATATCAACATACCTCATTATTATTAATTATAATATGTTAGTATGACACATCAATGTCACGTAACATAAAATAATAAATGAGATTTTAATTAAGTCAATCATTAGTAATAAAATTTTATTTAATTCAAAATAAAAATATAAATATTTGATTAAAGGTAATAAAAATATAAACACTTATTTAAATTTTTTTAAATAATTTAAAAAGTTTTTTATATTATGCTATAAGTATACTACACCCCCTTTTTCTTTTTTTTTCTCTTTTTATCTTTTTTTTTTCTCTTTTATGAGTATACTACTAGTGAATTTGAAAATTTATATTTAAATTATTAATAAAATTTATATTATAATTTTATTTTATTTTATTTTAAAAATGATTAATTTTTAATAAAATTTTATATTATAATTTAATTTATTTTGTTACTCTGAACCGATCGATTACTCGTCCTCAGAAACTTATTTTATTGATCTTTAGCCACCCACATGTAAACTTTTGGATCCACCATTGGACATATATCCAGTCCACAAACTTTCTCGTTACTTTACCAGTCCATCATCGTCACTACTTAGCTGGCGGACGAGGGCAGAGTTAGAGAGAAATACAGCATCGAAGAGAGCATTGACAGGATGCTTCAACGGAGAGGAAAGGGGACAATTGGGCTGTGAAGCCAAGGAGATCGGAGAGGTGGTCAAGATAAAGAGACAGCAGTACAGGATAATTTATGAATGGAAAATCATAGACTTGCAAGAACGGTAGGCGGCACGGTTTCTGGGTGTCGACGGCTTGAGGTGGCAGTGCACGAACCGCGGTCACAAAGAGAAAATAGATGAGATGATGATCTTGGCTAAGGTTAATTCATTTGGGGTTTAAAGTGGTCCTAAATTAAAGGAGAATTAATTTAAGATTTTTTATTTTATTTGTATCTTTATATATATTGTAAAATATTTTTTTATGTAATTTTTTATTATATTATTAACTTTACTTACATTTAAAAAAATTTATAATTAAAATATATTTTTAATTATTTTACTTGTTTTACAAGTATGTGTAAGATGAATTAATTTCATAAATAGTTTTTTTATTGTTAAATTGAATAGAATTTCATTTTTAAAAGATATTTTATTTTTTTTAAATAGAATACATTAATTTAATATTTATTAATTTATCAAAAATTAATTAAAATGACAAAAAATTAAGTGGAAGTGAGGAGAATAAACATTTTAATTTTAAAAAATTATAATTTTATATATATAATCAAATTCGAATTTAAAATACCATAAAAACCTTATCGAACTTATAACAGAATATAAGATATTTTTTTATATAATTAAGATAATGATATTTGAATTTATTTTTAAAATAAAAAATTATATATAAATTAATAAATCAAATATTCATACATAAAATATAAGATATTCAAATTTATATTATCTAGCAGGATATTCGCGAATATCCAAGTAACAGCAATCCTATTCGTCATATAATTGCTGACACTTACCATGGTAACAAAAGTTTTTCTTTCCCCTTTTTTCCCCTTTCCGCTCTTCCCACACTCAATTAAAGGCCATTCAAATTCCCCAAAGCAATCAGTCTTTCGATTCATATTTTGCCGATTGAAGATGGTATTTACGAATCGTTTATCAATCCCATTATCCTCAGTAGATCGTACATTCCTCTCATTATACCGTTTCTTCGGAAGTGTGGACAATGCACCTTTGAATGTTACCATGAAATTCCATGGGAAAAACTAATGAAAGCTTGATCGCATAGGTTGAGGTTCTTTATTTTCCTTAGTTCCCGATTATAGAGCATGAGTCGATCCCTGGCCTTCTTCCTTCTCCCTGACAGGAGCAAAAGCAGAGAAGACTGATACTTTTGGAGCAAAAGCAGAGAAGACTGATACTTTTGGAGCAGTAGCATAGAAAACTACACCGTACAGAAAGAAAGATCTACAAAGGAAGCAACCACTTGACCATGAAATGGTATATTGGTATATTGCATAGCCATGCCAATCAGTGGCCTCAATTTTATGATCAATCCACAACTGCAGGCCGTGCCTGCCAGTTGAATTCTGGTTCATTGAGGACTCAATTTTTGCGGTCTGAACTACCTAACAACATGCCAATTATTTCCCTTGAGATGCCTTAGAAGCTAAGTCAATAAAACATAACTTAACATCCCACTCTTGGTGCCGTTTCACCTTCACCACCTAAACTCTTGAATCATCAAGGATAAATATGCATTATTTCTAGTATTTTCCCGTAATAAACACAACCGCGCTGACAAATTGTCATAGAAAAAGAATTCATGAAAAGTTTTCAAAACCAAGTATCAAATATAATTTCCATAAAAGTTTATGACCGCAAACTGACACTAATTTAAATTTTCTCGTACAATAGCTATTAACATTAATGTTCTCAGGGGAAAAAAACCTTGAATATGAAAATTAAAGAAAATAAAAGAAAGAAGCATCACAATCACTCTCCAGCTACAAACATCCTATTAAGCAACATGGTTGAAAGATTCATGGAAAGGAATTGAGAGCACCAATTGTCTGCCCACCACCATATCCAGAGGGCCGGCATCTCAATCGCGGTGACACCAGCGGTCATCACAATTCACAACAGATGAAAGGCTTACATAATACATCGAGATCAAAGTACACCCTCCTTCAATGATCCCCACCTTCAACACTTCCCCACATCAACCAGAATTTGAGTTCACTTGACACAGGACACAAAAAAGCCAACTAAATGGAAAATGTAACTCACCATCAAAGCACTAATAAACTTAGAAGCACTTCCTGTGGACAATAGATGGACCAGACTCATCATACTCGCCCTTGGAAATCCACATCTGATGCAACAGGTAAAGCAAGAATGTCAGTCTTGGTCCTCTTGGACAATCAACTTATGCATAAAACATAACCAAATGTAAGAAAAACTATTTCACCTGCTGGAAGGTGCTGAGCGATGCCAAGATAGATCCTCCAATCCAGACACTGTACTTTCTCTCTGGTGGTGCAACGACCTTAATCTTCATGCTGCTTGGAGCAAGGGCAGTGATCTCCTTACTCATTCGGTCTGCAATACCAGGGAACATAGTTGAACCACCACTGAGCACAATGTTACCATAGAGATCTTTCCTGATATCCACGTCACACTTCATGATAGAGTTGTAGGTAGTCTCATGGATTCCAGCAGCTTCCATCCCAATGAGAGATGGCTGGAAGAGGACTTCTGGACAACGGAATCTCTCAGCTCCAATAGTAATGACTTGTCCATCAGGCAGCTCATAGTTCTTCTCAACAGATGAGCTGCTCTTGGCGGTCTCAAGTTCCTGCTCGTAGTCCAGGGCAACATAAGCAAGCTTCTCCTTCATGTCACGGACAATTTCCCGTTCAGCAGTGGTGGTAAACATGTAACCTCTCTCAGTAAGAATCTTCATCAAAGCATCAGTGAGATCACGACCAGCAAGGTCTAGACGAAGGATGGCATGTGGAAGGGCATACCCTTCGTAGATTGGCACAGTGTGAGATACACCATCACCAGAATCCAGTACAATACCTGTTCCAATAGGGAGATAATTCAGAGTTAGCTTGATTAGTTGCAATCTAAAAATATGAAAAAATTCATATAGGTTTCTATTTTAACAAACCTGTTGTACGACCACTAGCATACAATGAGAGAACAGCCTGGATGGCAACATACATGGCAGGTACATTAAAAGTCTCAAACATGATCTGGGTCATCTTTTCTCTGTTGGCCTTGGGGTTGAGAGGTGCCTCTGTGAGAAGCACAGGGTGCTCCTCAGGAGCAACACGGAGTTCATTGTAGAATGTATGATGCCAGATCTTTTCCATATCATCCCAATTGCTGACAATACCATGCTCAATGGGATATTTCAAAGTTAGGATACCTCTTTTGGATTGAGCCTCATCTCCTACATAGGCATCCTTCTGACCCATCCCAACCATGACACCAGTGTGTCGGGGTCGACCAACAATACTGGGAAAAACTGCCCTGGGAGCATCATCGCCAGCAAAACCAGCCTGCACAATAAACAAAATATCCGATTAACCATGATAAAGGGACATTTTTCATAAAGAAATAAACAATAACGGAGAATAAAACTCATATCCACAGATCAACTAACCTTCACCATTCCAGTTCCATTGTCACAGACAAGGGGCTGAATATCCTCAGCATCAGCCATCTTTTACAATACTGCAAAAAAAAATTAAGATAGTGAGTTGGATTCTATGCCCTTTTTAACAATCTAAACAAGCAAAATTAAAGACTTCCACAAATCAAGTTTTAGTTTCTTGTAATGACAAAAAGAAACACTTAAGTCTGACTACTTTCTTCAAATATATATGATAAAACTGTTCAGCATTTTAGCAAAGCTAAAAACAGAAAATTTTGCTACTGCAGCGGCACAAACAATTTTTATCAATTCAAAACGCATACAACATTCATTAGACAGCATCTAAGGGACTAAAA